CACCCTGTATATAAATTATGCATATAATATAGAAAAATATTACACAATTGTTGCATAGTAGATGTGATACTTTTAAAACGATGTTTCTACAGTAGATCATATACATATAACATATAAGTGTACATATTGAAACGAAATATATGGATAAACGCCGCTGAAGAAGTGAATAATACGAGTATGTTTGCGAAACCTCCATATGTCTTCTCTCGTTAATTATATTCTATGAACAGGAAACATCTGTTGAATTTCTTTTCCTTTTCTGTCGAAGTTAAATCAATTATTTCATCGTCGATTACTTTCCCACATTAAAAAATTCTCATGAATTAATGTCTTAAACTACAAATACTTTTACAATAAAAATTATAAATTTCAATTAACGTAGAGCTATGTTTTTCATTAGTGTTATAAATTATAATATTTTTTTACAAATTTCGTCTAAATTTTTTAAAAATTTATGAAGTGAATTATATGTTATATGTATCTGTACTCAAAATAGTACATGTATAGTATAATTTTTCGTTGTGTTGTATAGTAAACGAAATATTTTTGAAGAATTGTACTTGTTAGAAATCATATACATATACATACATGATAAAATAAATATACATAACAGAGAATGAAGTACGCGGATAAGAATGGCTGAAATGTGACTCTCGTGCGCATGCACAACTTTTACAGCAGAACTTTTCTCATGATGTTCCATGAGAAAGAAACATCTGTTAAATTTCTTTCTCATGTTGAATCGATTACTTAATTGCCAAACACATTTCGACGATACAGTGTAAATTGCAAGTGTGCCGATATAAAAGCCGTACTCTATTGTTTTGTATTATAAACTAAATTATGGAAAATAGCTTCAATTGTGCAATTTTAAAATTAATGCTAGAGAAGAGGAAATATTGAACAAACTGAATGTGGTGGGGATGATAGGGGATCTTCGTCCACACTACATCCCCGTCAGAACTATTTCAGAGCTAGTAAAGAAATGATCAATATTGTGGACAGATTCTTCAGTTTTAACCGATTACTTTTGCTACTGATTGGATTATGGCCTTACGAAAGGTCCAAATATGTTCAACTGCAATTTATCTGCGTTTTTAGTTTTTTAATATCTTCTATTATATTTCAGGTATACAAAGTTTAATTCTACTAACACATTTATTACCTTGACACTTATATATATGGAAGTAATTTGTACTTATATATTTTTTAGATTTTTAAATAGATATTTTTTTGAAAATATTAACTGTGTTAGAGAATATATCATTTAACTATCAAAATTCTTTCAGTTTAAATTTCAAAATTGGAAAGTAATAAATCAATAATACCTTTATTCTCTTATTCCTTATTCGTATAAAAAAATTTAAAGATTCCCATGATATATATGCGTGCGTGTGCGTGTGCGTGAGTGTGTGCATGGGCGTGAGCGTGTGCATGTTCCTGTGCGTGTGCGTGTGCGTGTGCGTGTGCGTGAGCGTGTGCATGGGCGTGAGCGTGTGCGTGTTCCTGTGCGCGCGCGCGCGCGCGCGCGCGCGCGTGTGTGTGTGTGTGTGTGTGTGTGTGTGTGTTAGAATGCATTTATATTCTACACTATTATACGCTAATTATGTTACAATATAATATGAAATAAAAAAGATTACATAGCTTATTTAAAGATATTACATGTATACAGTTAATAATGTGGCTTGCAATATGTGAAAGTAAGGCATGAAAATGTTTTACAATGTTAATTCCTTTAAAAAATCATTACTTATAGCTCACAACATTTTTGACTTCAAAATGTACTCCAGAATTTATCATAAAGATTCTATCTTCAGTACTCGTTTTTAGTGCTAGTGTCGTAGAATATAATGCCTTTTATGTTAATAGTACAGCGGTAAGTTGATTGCTCACTACATTTAAATAAAAATCTTAATATCTTTAATAACACTTTATACCTAACAACTTTTTAAATTTTATTAAGATAAATAGCATAAATATTTATTGAAAGAATAGGTAAAATATTTAATGGAACAAGTTCAGTGTATGTATAAGGATTTAACAGACACTAACGAAATTGCAATCGTGGAAAGATATGGAAGTAACGCAAAGTATTATGTAACTAGACTTGCAAGTAAGACATCTTTGGGTTTCTATTCTTTCTTGTATTTGTATTGCGTTTCAAGTGCAACATTTTATGAAATATGTCTGAAAGATGAAATAATGTATACATATAATCCATGTATTGAAATATGGAACGACAGTGCACAATAAACTTTATAATTTTTATGAACAAAAATATATTAAAATATGACAAATTTGACAAGCCCCTTTTAGATTTATTAAGTAAATAAAATTAAAAATAATTAAAACATCGAAAACAACAAAAAGATAGTAATTTGTACATATATTAATATATTAGCAGATAGGCATATCTTATGTGCCATATTTACCACAATGTAAATTTTAAAATTGTTAGAAAATTATATTTTTATTTACTATTTTATAATGTTATTTAGTGGTTTTCTTTTCTGGCGCATTTCTTTTTGTGGCTGTTCAATTGTTGCCAGAGTTTAGATACTTTATATTATCTGGAAACGTATCTCGAACACGTCATCTGCAGATCTCTACTGAATATTTTATCGATCAAGAAAGATATTTCTACTTAGTATTTTTCCATATAAATGGAACTATAATCTTAGGATGTGTCGTAATCACAGCGACAGGATTAACGCTCATTACATACCTTCAACATGCCTGCGGAATGTTTAGAATTGCTAGGTAAAATAAACATCGTAAATAAAATTATAATTTAGTTCTGTTTATACTCATACTCACATTTGAAAAACTTTTTTTATAATGTTTTACTTTGCTAATTATATGAGAATGCTAGTTTTTTAGAATGCTAAGTTTTCCTGTAAACGTATATTTTAGATTAATATTAACTCAAGTCAAAATTTTTACTGATTGTTTTAATTATTGCCCATTTTTGTATAAAAACTTCTTATAATTATTAATAATTAAATTATTTACAGTTATCGTATCGACAGAGCAATACAAAATTATATATCAAAAAATGTTAAACTGCAGAATGAGATTCTAGCTCATAAAGGCATAATTCGTGCTGTAAATATTCATCGACAAGCTATAACGTTCGTATATACATATCTTGTAATAAATGTATAGTATATGGAATAACAGACTTTTGTTTTTAAAGTTACTCCACCTATCTAATATCCAAATTTGAGATATCATTCATGTTTTTAATCGCAGTCGGTGTTATGAGTACAAGCTTAAACATTTATCGAGTAAGTTGTTTGTTTTTATGGTAAACCTTCGGAAAACCCACGTATATGAAATAATAGGTAAGAATACCCGATCCCTATGTATTTTTGTGTTCTGAACATGAATAGGTAACTTAAAAATCGCGCTCGGAACAAGAAACATCGAAAACCCATTGACCACGAATAACTCTTCCTTCCCGCAAGCGACTTTCCACGTGAAGCGAGACTGCACACCTAAGACATGGTTTGGGTATGGTTATATCTTAACGAAGTGGGGCCCCCCTTCGGGAGGGGAGGGGGCGGAACATACTGTCCACGCATGTACTTCCATCGTTGTACTGTTCCACATGTCTGACACCGTTGTACTGTTCGTGGAGACAGTATGTTCCGCCCCCCCCCCCCCGAAGGGGGCCTCCACTTTGTTAAGATATAACCTTACCCAAACCATGTCTGAGGTGTGGAGTGGATCTCGCTTCACGTGAAACGTTGCAAACCCATGTGGAATCGCACTGCAAAGTACATACTTAGATGGGAGAACAGATAGAAGGTTTATAGTCCATCCTTTTTCTCGAAAACTATCACTCACACAGTAAAAATGAATAGGACATAAAATGTATATTTCGAAGAGATCTACAACTTTTGTTTAAAACATTTTTCAAAATTTTTAACATTTAGTGGGATAAATGTTAAAAACTATAATTTTTATGGGTTTTTAAAATGGTTTTCGATGTTTCTTGTCCCGAGCGCCATTTTTAAGTTACATATTCATGTTCAGAGGACAAACATACATAGGAATTCTTACCCATTATTCCATATACGTTGGTTTTCCGAAGGTTTACCGTTTTTATTTATAAAGCCACATCTACTAATTACCATGCTAATTCTTTACATTGCTTATTATAACAATATTATTATTGTCTTTCTACTACCAACTTTGATATCTTAGATTAAGAACTTTAAGGTGACAATTCTAAGAAGAGATTATTTGAATTTGGATTATAATGCTTTCAATATACTTACTGATTCAATTGTATAATGTATGATTTTCAAATCCACGGATTTGAGTTCTCAAATTAAATCAATTATAACAAAAGAGAATGAATTACTATTAATTTTATAGTCATCGAGTATATTATAATCTTTATAAAATTTATTCGGAAAACTTTAATAGTAATGCAAACAATGATTTAATTTATTAAAGAATAATGTAATAAAAACATACATGTATAATAAAATGATAAACAATGTATAATACATACAAGTGGCAGTTATAAATTTTATTTACAAAAGTAGTGAAGTTTAATACATTAAATTATATTGTAGTTGAAAATTTTTGTACTAAATTTCACCTACGTTTATACTATGCTCTTCATAGAAGTTGATCTTAATGACATTTGGTATTAGGTCTTTCAAGTTGCATTATTGGGATATAATATTGAAGAATTGTTTATTAGTCTTGTATTTGCAACTTTGTGTTTTGTATATATGTTTGTGGCTAATTTTGTCGGACAACAAATTATAGATCATAATAACCACGTATATGCCACTGCGTAAGTAATACAGTTACTTTATATTTACATAAACAAATTAGAAATTTAGAAATTTATGTATTATCATTAAAGAAAAAAATAATGTACTAATTTTGTATGTGTGTGTGTGTGTGTACATACTAACAATAAAATTCTACTGTTTAAATATTATCATTTTTTTTAAACTGTCATATTGTTATCACTTTTAGATACAAAGTCCAATGGTATGTAACTCCTTTACACATACAAAGATTGATACTGTTAATATTGCAAAGAGGTAATAAGAATTTTGGCTTGTCTGTCGGCGGATTGTTCACAGCATCTATAGAATGTTTTGCCACGGTATAAAATATTTTATATACCATGTTCCACATACTACATTTCATATACAATTATTAAATATGTATAAATATTTCATGTTTGAATATTAATATAATATCATATACATATAGTATATAACAATTTCGTTTTATAACATATTAAATACAATTTAATATAAAATAAAGGCAAACTTAATTTGTTACAGCTAACCAATGCATCTATATCTTATTTTACTATCATGTATTCAATGCGATAATAACAATATAATATATTAATTAATGTTATAATTAGAAAAAGTTAATGAAAAAGAGAGTATCTACGATATACCTCAAATCTAAAAGAACAAATACTGTCACATAAACGATGCGATAATGTGAGGTAGAAAAAAGTTTTTATAAGGACACTCGTTTATGTACAAATTAGAAATCAGAAAACAAAAAAAAATAATCGCATTGCACGATACTTTAGTATTGTCCAATTTTGATAATGTGATAAATATGAAGCAACTTTTGCAGTAATTACTCTTTATATGTATTACTTTCTTTTATAAATTATTTAGTGTATATTAAAAACAATTTTATTATTCTTGAGAGTTGACATCACTTTAATTTTTGCCACTATTTTATCATCTTGTCTTTAATTTATTTTAATCCTGCCTTTTACATTTATATATTTTTATATTTGATAAAACAGTACTCAGTTAACAGGTAAGATGAGAACTTACACACATTACTCAATTTTGCAAATAAGATGAGAAATTATACGCTAAAAAATTACAACATAAATTATGCAATAGAGAATACTGATATTTAATAAATTTTTACGTCAGCAGACCATATGTAAGATACAATGAGTGCATACATATGTATATTGAAATGTAAAACGTACGAATAAGAACAACTCAAAAGCAAATAATGTGTGTTTACATAACTTTCACTTTAGGACATGTGTGGACAACATGAGAAACACCTATGAAAGAGAAACATCTGTTAAATTTCTTTTAACATTGAATCGATTATTTAACCGGTGACTTCCTCGAAAGTGTTAAAGTGCGCATATTGCGACCTTACTTATAGTTTACACTGTTGCAGTTAGTCTAAATTACAGAATTATTTCAAATTATAGAATTAACATTTATACAAAAAATATATAGAGAATATTTAATTAATTTTAAGGTGATGAACTAAATATAACAATAACAATTAATATTTATATTTCTTAAGCTTTATATTTATGCATTTATTGTCGGTCGATTCTAAAATATCTTTTAATTTTCAGCTTTGTTTAATAAATAATCAAAATACAACAAACGTCGAAATATGCTTCATAATGCAATTGTATAAACGAGAGTGTAATAAAGAACAGTTGAAAAATTCTTACCATTATGAATCATGTATACATACAAATGGACATGCATAACGAAATGACGCACATGCTTAAAAACCACTGAGGCGTAGCCAGTGTGCATGCAGTTATTACCACAAGACTCTCTTCGGAAACGATATTCTGTGAGAAAAAGCCATATGGTAATTGCCTGGTATTGTTTGTAGAATCGGTTACTTAATTGGTGAACGCATTTCGACGATATAGTGTAAATTGAACTACACACGTGTACATATACAAAAACATGTAGTAAAAATTATATTATACATGCTTTGCGACACACAGTTACACATTATAGTGGACATGATACTTTTAAAGAATTTTCAATGTTATGCATCGAATATATCGTATGAATGAACATATCGAATTGAAGCATGTACGCAAGAGACGCTGAATCATGAGTAGTGCGCATGTACAATTTTTACCTCAAGACTTCTCATGAGCAATATAATATGAGAAAAAACATCTGCTGAACTTCTTTCGGCTGAATCGATTATTGAATTGGCGACTATGTCTCAACGATACAGTGCTAAATTACAAGTATACAGGTCTAACGGTGATGTTTTGCGTTTTACACTACAATTCAGCTAGATTGCGGAAAATAACTTAAATTGCAAAACATTAAACTTGAAAAAGAAAAAGAATAGACGTAGCAAATTTTATCGATGAACCGAATGTAGTAGGGATAAACGAATCTTCATTTACTTTATTCCCGTCATAAGTATTTTAGAACTAGCGGGGAGAAGATCATGGACGAATATTTCAATTTAACTCAGACTCTTCTGTTAATAATTGGTCTGTGGCCTTTTCAAAAATCGAAATTTGCACAATATCGATATATTTTCTTACTTGCTACAGTTACAAGTGCTATTGTAGTTCAAGTATGTGTATAATGTTTCAATTTCCTTTCTGTATATTGTTTTATCTTTCTATATGCATTACAAAGTATACATACATATATTAAATATATCAAATTGAATTAGATTTATGATTTTTCCAGTTTGCAGTTAACATCTTAATTAGATTATTAATTAAATTATACATAATTTAATATTAAAGTCATTAATTTAGATATATGTAAATAATGAGAAATATATCTTATACAATACCATATTTACATAAAAACACATACTTAGACGTTGCTTATTTCATATTTACAATTTATAGACTAAATATGAAAATCTATAAAGTAATTTCCTATCTCCAATTTCTAATTTAAAAAATGTTATTATTTAGTATGTTACTATTTATAGTTTACAGCATTTATAACTTTAAAATGTACTACAGATCTTATGATAAAAATTGTCTCTTGTTCCTTCGGTTTTATAGTTATAGAGATAAAATACATTTTTCTTCTTCTTAACAATGGTGCAGTAAGTTTATCTATGTATTTATTTTTTAATAATAGCAAATAAACGCTTTGGATAAAATTTTTAACTTACATATTGTTGATAGTTTTACTAATTCATTAGAGATACGCAAGTGGTATAAGAACTTATTAAAATAATAGGTAAAATATATAATAGAGTATCTTCAATATGTATACGTTAATTTAAAAGACCATAAAGAAATTATTATTATAAAAGAATATGGAAGCAAAGCAAAACGTCATACGATGGGACTTATAAGTAAGTGAATTTTCTAGTCCTATATATCTTTATACATTATACATATGTTTGAAACATGAAAGAAAGTAAAAAGAAAATAACTGAATAAATTTACTGGTAAAATTAAAAAAAAAACAGTACTTAAAAATTTTAATTAGTTCTCAAATTAAAGTGATTCAAACTATAAGGCAATGAGACACTTGCACATCAATTATATAATATATGTGCTAAATTAGAAGATCTTTGTCTTGTACTTTTTCTATTTCTAATACAATAAAATCTAAATAACTAAAATACTACAAAATTATTGTATATAATATATTCAATAGGAAACTGCATTTGTATAATTATTATCCATTACTTTCTTTTTGGAAAAAGTTTTGGAAAAAATATGTATATGTGTAACTTATATGCGACACCTTAGCATTTTGTAACAATGTATTGGGTTGATGCGTAAGTTCGTCCCGTTTTTAAATATTCGCACATTTTATATACGAATTCGATCTGCTATCAACTACACACCTATATGACGTATTGAAAGTAGCAATTGAACGAAAACTTTACTGTCAAATTTATTGTCGTCGATTGATGTTTGTGAGTCGTACAAATTTATAAAGATGGATAAAAATAAGCATCATTTTCGACATATGTCTTTTATTTTCGAAAAGGCAAAACTGCTGTTCAGACCAAAAGAAACATATGCTCTGTCTACGGAGAAAATGCTATTGATAATTCCACCGTTCGTAAATGGTTCCGACAATTTCGTAATGGAAATTTTAATCTCACGGATGAGAAACGTTCTGGTCGGCTTCCGAAATTGACAGTCACGAAACTTGACCTTGATTGAAACTGATCGTCATAAAACAACTCGTGAGATTGCATATATCACTGATTAAATGTATGTATATGGACAAAATATAATAGGTATGAAATGAAATATTTTGTTTCAAAACGGGACGAACTTATGCATTATCCCAATATATGACATTTTAATAAAATTACAAATTCTAAATTATTAAAACTGTTCTACAATTTATGGAATCAATTATTTATAATGTTTAGTGCTTTTTATTAGCCAGTTAATTCTACATATGATTACACAATTGTGGCCACAATATTGCAACGTTATTTTATTTATGAATGGATCTCATCAACGTCGTCTATATATGGTAGCAGAATATTTTGTCGATCAAGAAAAATATTTCTACTTATTATTACTTCATATATACATATGTTCTCACATGGGCCTATTCATTCTATTAGTGACAGGAATGTCGTTTTATACATATCTTCAGTATGCCTGTGGAATGTTCAAAATTGCTAGGTAAAAATGTTTAACGTAATAAAAGAAGTAGACGTAGAAATAATTTATAATATAGTTTATTAAAGTGACAGGATTATATTTTCCATCGTGTTTCTGGTAAAAATCTGAAACATCTTAATTTGTTGTAATAAGTCGTCAATTATATAAAAAACATAATTGACTCAGTAAAAAAATGAATTTCTTTTATTTATACTTACATTAGTAACATTATATAAAAGTTTCTTAATACTTATGTTTCAGTTTTTAAAAACATTAATTTGTAAAGAAGTTAAAATGTTTATAATAATCGAGAATTAAATGATTTAATAAAACAAAACTTTTTTATATTACCTAAATTATTACTTTTGTAATTGTATTTGATAAACATAGAATATACATTTATGTAATATTTTTTTTACAATTGATTAATATTTTATAATTTTCTGGGACAATCTGTCTGGTACGTAAATTTTCTCGGAATGCAGCAACAATTAATCGTATTTAATTTTCAGACCTTTTGAAAATTACGGTATTATGAGTTATTAAATTCCTCTTAAATTTTATTAAATTTCTCTTGAAACGATTTATATTATATACATATACTACCAGATTTTTAAAAATATATCAATAATAAATAAAATACCTTTTAAAATAACGTTGATAATTTAAAACTGATAGTTTAAAATTTCCAAGTTAAAAGTAACTTGAAAAAAATCATCACATTTAGTCTTTTAAATAATGCCACATTTTTCTTAGATATTTTCAACCGATCTTCAAACAGTGATTTTAAGGGTGTTTATTGTTTCTCTTAATTTATCCTTGTATTGCATATAAATTTATCCTAAAACTAATTTATTGTACTTCATTTTATTTGTTATTCAACTTCGAGGATATGTATCGAGGACTTGTATCATGATTTCGTCATATAAATATCTATAATAAAAAATTAAATTATTCACAGTTATCGTATCGAAAGTACAATGAAAATTTACGTATCACAAAATATTATGCTACGAAATGAGAATTTGCTTCATAAAGGCATTGTTCGTGCTATAGACATTCAACGAAATGCCATGATGTTAGTATTTATCTTGCCATATAATAATGCATTATAAGACACACAACACACACATACATACATATATAAATATATTTTTTAATTATTGTATATTTTGTATTAAAATTTATATTTATAGGATTTGCGAATATTTAATGTCCGCATTTGAGATAATGTTCATGTTTCTAATAGGACTTGGAGTGATGCTGTTAAGTTTCAATATTTTTCGAGTAAGTTTATTTATTTATACATATAAAATACTAAATATGTTTCTTAAAAAATGAATAAGTACGATTTTTTATATAAAATAATCACATAATTAATCCCAAAATTCGCCTATCAGGCTTTTCAGATTATATCATTCGATTTTGATATTGAAGAATTAGGGGTGTGTTACTTGTCATCAATGAGTTGCGTTTTATATATGTTCTTATCCAATCTCATCGGACAAGAAATAACCGATCACTACAATTACGTATTTGATACGATGTAGGAAATATTTTCTCATTACATTATTATAACATTTTACGATTATTACTTTTTAATGATAAAAATAAGAATTAATATTTTCACGTATTAGTATAATGTAAACAAACATATAATGTGGTATTACTGGTCTTTTTTCTCAAATTATTGATTTATTATATGTATCTTTTGTGTAGATACAAAATCCAGTGGTACTTAGCTCCTGTACATATACAAAAGCTGATAGTGTTTCTAATGCTGAAAGGCAACAAATCTTTTGGTCTAAATGTGGCTGGACTGTTTATAGCATCTTTAGAGTGTTTTGCTACGGTAGGGAATGATTCTTTTTATTTATGATAATAAAATGAATACATTACATTTCTTTTTCTCCCTCTTCTCTTACTTTGTCTTTTCCTTCTTTTTAAAAAAACAAAACAAAACAAAAACAAACATAATTTGTTGCAGTTGGCAAATTCATCGTTATCTTATTTTATCGTCTTATATTCAATGCGGTAGTATTATCAAAACATACCAACACCATAGTGATAAACTTAGTAAGAAGTGATGCAGTACAAATTGTATAAGAAATACCGCGTATTATATAAAAAATGTATGTAAATTAGATAACAACAAAATAAGAGTTTCGCACCAACTTTCCTCTAAATGTAAGAAATATGATGTAACTATTTTGTGCAATTAATTATTATATTTTATTACCGTTAATACAGTTAATTATTACAGTTAACAAAATATGTGAGAATTAGTTGAAATAAGTGATAACGATTTGTTGCATGCAATATTATATCTTTTATCGTGATTAACAGTACTTTTATTTCAAAACCTTGATCCAACACGTAATACGAGTTTTATTTTATTTTTATATTTACTAAAATTTAAAATTTTATATTACAAAATTTCTCCAAATTTTTTTAAGTTTTTAGATCTTATAGCCACACATATTGATACGTATATTTTTAAATGCTAAATTCATATCGTTTTTTAATGAAAGTAAGAAAGACAACGGGCAGCAAAAGAGTTTGAATATGTAATAAAATTATTTATTTTGCGAGAAATGATATCATATCTTTTATAGGTTGTAATTTTGTAGTAAATATGATTTTTTAAATATTTTTGTTCTCTTTTAAATATCTTTGACATAAGTAACTTATATTTGCATTCAAATGAAAGATCGAAAATGTGTACGCTACAGCTAAGTAAGAAATTCGTCTATATAATTGTAACATTTCTGGTACTCACTTTCAGGTATCTATTTTAATACCTGCGTTACTTTATTCAGAAATTGACGAAAAATGTGTTTCTTTCATAACTCAACCTTTTAGCCAACGAAATAAAAAGTGTCCAAGTGAATGCGCAGGGTTTTCCAACATTAATCACTTTTGAGATTAAAAAGTCATGGAAGAATGAACGCTCAACAACATTGATGAATTCACGTTCTTCTCAAAACTGTTTTATCTTAATCGAAAACACACGATTTTACCATAATCTCATTTTCACGAACTCTAATTAACTTTTCATATATATCTGTTGACGAATCGCCATATTTTATTAAAAATATTATCACAATTCTATTCTAAATTACACTCTATTTTTCTCGTATAAAGCATCAATACGTCGTTACACGAACCAACTTGTACAATGACTGAAACGTATAACAATATTTGCCCCTAGGTTAGCCCCTCGTGCGCAGGCAGAGAAGGGTTCAGTTGACACAGTTGCAGTGGTGGGATGTAATCGTTAGTAGTGCCTTTGTCACTTCGGCAGAAAAAATTATTTTAGAAATTTTATTATCACGCTTTATATTTTTATACCATTTTATATCTATAAATAATAGATTAAAACAAAATAAATTAAGCAATAATGATTTACTATAATATGTAATAATATTGTTCTTTTTGAATTATTTTTATACTATCTTAGTTTAAAAAATGCTGCTTTAATTTTTTTGAAACATTAACCGAGGGCTATGTTATTTGATGTTTTATTTTCAAATATCGTTTTCTGGAAATTGATTACAGTGGTATTATTTTAAGTTCTACCACTATTTATTAATGTTTTATTTGACATTTTAATTTATATTCCTTTACATTTTATAAAACATTAATTAAATTCGCAAGAATAACGTCAAAGTTATGCGATCAAAAAAATAGAAACGTTATATATAAATTATGTATATAATATAGAATAATATTACATAATTGTTGCACAATAGATGTAATACTTTTAAAACGATTTTTCCACGGTAGATCATATACACATAACATATAAGTGTACATATGGAAACAAAATATATGGATAAACACCGCTGAAAAAGTGAATAATATGTTTGCGTAATCTCCACCATGCCTTCTCTCGTTAATTATATTCTATGAACAGGAAATATCTGTTGAATTTCTTTTTCTTTTCTGTCGAAGTTGACCTCACTGGTATTTCGCGCCGTTACAATAAAAGAAGGTAGATTATAAAAGTAATTAAATTGCAGAATGTTAAAATTATACAAAACATTTCTTCGAACAACTAAATGTGATAGTGATTGATGTTTACATCTTCCAATTTTTATATTTATGCATTTATAATTACTGAGATATTTTTTAATAGATAGCGAGTAAAATAAAAATGTATGAAGTAAAATTATATGTTATATGTATCTGTACTCAAAATAGTACATATATAGTATAATTTTTCGTGGGCTTGTGTAGTGAACGAGATATTTTTGAAGAATTCTGCTTGTTAGAAATCATATACATACACATACATGATGAAATGAATATACATAACAGAGAATGAAGTACGCGGATAAGAATGGCTGAAATGTGACTCTCGTGCGCATGCACAACTTTTACAGCAGAACTTTTCTCATGATGTTCCATGAGAAAGAAACCATCTGTTAAATTTCTTTCTCATGTTGAATCGATTACTTAATTGGCAAACACATTTCGACGATACAGTACAAATTGCAAGTGTGCCAATGTAAAAGCGATACTGTATTGTTTTGTATTATAAACTAAATTATGGAAAATAGCTTCAATTGTGCAATTTTAAAATTAAGGCTAGAGAAGAGGAAATATTGAATAAACTGAATGTGGTGGGGATGATAGGGAATCTTCGTCCACTACATCCCCGTCACAACTATTTCAGAGCTGGTAGAAAGATGATCAATATTGTGGATAGATTCTTCAGTTTTAACCGATTTCTTTTGCTGCTGATTGGATTGTGGCCTTACAAAAAGTCCAAATATGTTCAACTGCAATTAATCTGCATCTTTAGTTTCTTAATATCTTCTATTATATTTCAGGTATACCAAGTTTAATTCTAGTAACACATGTATTACCTTGACACTTACCTCATATCTATAGAAGCAATTTGTACTTATAATTTTTTTGTGAATTTTAAATAGATAGTTTTTTGAAAATATTAACTGTGTTTTAGAGAATATATCATTTAACTATTAAAATTCTTTCAGTTTAAATTTTAAAATTGGAAAATAATAAATTATCAATAATACCTTTATTCTTTAATTCCTTATTTATATAAGAAAATTTTTGCGATTCCGCATATACATTTAAACGTACATATACATATATGTGTGTGTGTGTGCGTGTGCGTGTGCGTGTGCAATTATATCCTACACTATTATACGCTAATTATGTTAAAACTAATATGGAATAAAAAATGATTATACAGCTTTATTTAAATCTATTACATGTATACAGTTAAGAATGTGGCTTGCAATATGTGAAAGTAAGGCATGAGAATGTTTTTCAATATTAATTCCTTAAAAATATCATTACTTATAGCTTACGACAATTTTGACTTCAAAATGTACTCCAGAATTTATCATAAAGATTCTATCTTCAGCATTCATTTTTAGTGCTTTTGTCATAAAATATAATGCCTTTTATGTTAATAGTACAACAGTAAGTTGATTGCTCACTACATTTAAATAAACATCTTAATATCTTTAATAACACTTTATACCTAACAACTTTTTAAAATTTTATTAAGATAAGTAGCATAAATATTTATTGAAAAAATAGGTAAAATATTTAACGGAACAAGTTCAGTGTATGTATAATGATTTAAGAGACACTAAGGAAATTGCAATTGCGGAAAGATATGGAAGTAACGCAAAGTATTATGCAACTAGTATTTCAAGTAAGACATCTTTGGCTTGTTATTCTTTCTTGTTTTTGTATTGCGTTCCAAGTGCAATATTTCAAGAAACATGTATGAAAGATGAAATAATGTATAAAATCATTGTATTAAAATATGGAATAACAGTGCACTATAAACTTCATAACTTTTATGAACAACAAATGTCTTAAAATGTGACAAATCATACTTACAATTAGTAAATCTATTAAAATATGAGAAATCGTTCTTAGTAAATCTATAAGGGGTTTATCATCTTTGTGATAAAGAAAGTTAAAAATTTTTTATTAACACATCGAAAACAATAAAGAAAATATAGTATTGTAATTTCTGTATTAATAGATTGACAGATAGGCACATATTTATTTTTAAAAAATTTACGTATAAAATATTTTATGATGCAATATTTACAACAATGTAAATTTTAAAATTGTTAGGAAACTATATTTTTATTTACTATTTTATAATGTTATTTAGCGTTTTTCTTTTCTGGCGCATTTCTTTTTGTGGCTGTTCAATTGTTGCCAGAGTTTAGATACTTCATATTATCTGCAAACGTATCTCGATCACATCATCTGCGGATCTCCACTGAATATTTTATCGATCAAGAAAGATATTTCTACTTATTATTCTTCCATATAAACGGAACTATGATCTTAGGATGTGTCGTAATAGCAGCGACAGGAACAATGCTGTTTACATATCTCCAACATGCCTGCGGAATGTTTAGAATTGCTAGGTAAAATAAACATAAAAAATTAAAATTATAAATTGGTTCTTTTCTACTAGCGTTTACAATTGAAAAATGTTTGTAACACGAATATAAAGTTTTTATTTTAAATTATAATTATTAAATAAAACTACTGGGGTTAAATAATTCTTTACGTTATAAAGTTTTTACTTTGCATAATGTGAGAATGCTAAAGTAAAGGAAATTTTAATACTTGGTTTGTTAGTTATATAATAAAATCTTAATATGCATGATTTTTCAATAGGTATAATTAAATATAAAAAATAAAAACAAAATAAGAATACAGTGTACGTAATATTAGTTTTGAGTAGTTTTACATTAAAAGTGGAATTTTTAATTAATCACAATGAAATGAGAAAAGTGCATTATTTATTTTTATTTATGTTTGTATCAAAATTTTGAATAAGTATTATTTGATATTAAAAATTTTATAATTGCATCGATCTGTAAACGTATATTTTAGATTATTATTAACTCAAGTCAAAATTTTTACTGTTTTTTTAATTATTGCCCATTTTTGTATAAAACGTCTGATAATTATTAATAATTAAATTATTTACAGTTATCGTATCGAGAAAGCAATACAAACTTATACAGGGTGCTACGCAAGACTTTGACGTCCGGTCATGGGAAGGTAGAGGGGACTAAGACAAACAGAAAAGTATTGTACTATTTTGCGCTTGGACGAATAGTTATCGAGATACGAAATTTTAAAAATCGCCGTATTAGCCCAACCTACTGGCGAATGTAAGCGCGCGGCGAGATGCGACGGCCTAGCGGCCCCGCTCGAGGCGGTGTGCGGCGAGGAATAGAATGGCGGTGCGGGGCGAGGAGTAGGGAGGCGAGGCGCGCCGCTGCCCGT